CGTCCGAATGGAAATAGCCTGAAAACTTAGTGGCACATCTGGGAGCCTCGCATTTTTCGCATGAAAATAGTTTGAAATACGGGTTTGAAATATTATTTTCTCTTTTCTGAACCACTGAGGCATAAAATAACTCTAAAACAGACCCTCTATACCCCCATTTGGAAACAATATAGCTTCTCTTTGATACAGGGGGTTGTCTATGCAAACGTCCCTATGGAAAAAGCCTGAAAACTTAGTGGCACATCTGGGAGCCTCGCATTTTTCGCATGGAAATAGTTTAAAATACGGGTTTGAAATATTATTATCTCTTTCCTTAACCATATAGGCATTAAATAACTTTAAAACCGTCGCTCTATACGTTTTTATTAGAAGTACTAAGACAGAGACATTTCTTCTGACTGCAAAGTTTTCAAAGAGCAGGACATCGAAAATGTTCTTCACATAACGTGTCCCGACCATGTCTAGGTGAGGCAACTTGAGTGGACAATACTTTAAGCCAACTTGTGAATGTTCCTATTAATTTTTAACCAGAAATGCCAACCAATTAAACAACTAAAACAAATACAAAGGTTGTATATGTCACCAGGTCTCCAATGTCATCACACATGTCTGGCCAGAGCTCGAGTGGCAGGGGGAAGAGCAGGAGCAGGAGGTCTTGGTGTGGTGTCACTAATGCCAGCCGGAGATTAACTGATGATTACAAGGCCTGTGAATTCAGCAGATTTGTACAGACCCTGATACTGCAGTAATCTAGACTTGCCAAATATCATAGGCTTGGAAGGGACTGTAATGGATATATTTGTTTCATGATCTGTATGACAGCATAGGTACAATAGGATTATGACTGATTTATTTGTATCTGGAAAGGATATTTATTGCAGAAAACATTCCATTCCCGAAAAAAACACATCATAATTCATACATACACATATACAGACAGACATACATACCTGAAAACACAAAGAAATAATTTAATGCATAGAAAATATCAACAGTACAGATTTGATGATATTATACATAAAATGTCATAGGTTGATCCACGGGAATCTATTGCTTGACATCATCCATTTGAAACATATGCAATTGATGTTGATGGCTCAATATTTGAGAGGATGTGGTGAAATAATATGTTTTCATTATTGTGGACATTTACATTTTGTGTGGATACTTTTCCAAAGAGTATATTTCTTTCTTTCGTGTGTTTGATACAATAAAGTAGGTAGTGTCTTTCCTCATCAATGGTTGAACATGTAGAGCATAGTTTCTGATGTAGTGGGGTGGGTGGCTTTGTATGTCTTCCAAGTTCTATAGTTAATTTATGGTTACTTACTCCTAGTTTAGAAAAGTGCACTCGATATTTTCTTATTTTACAGTGACTGAAATATGATTCTAATTTTATTTCATTTTTAACTGTCCTGAATGTCCTCAGTTTTTTCTTGCACCTTTTGGGGCACGGTTGGCCGAGTCGTCTGAGGCGCAGCAATTCGCTGTGCAGAAAAGCGCGTCCCTTGGGCACGCCAGAAATCTATGATCGTGGGTTCGAATCCCGGTTCGCCCCGATTATGTTTCTAGATTTGGTCAGTACGACAACCGTGCTCGTGGGTTTCACCGAAGTGGTTAACGTCTGACACCTGCAACACTTCGGGCTTTCCTATCACATGGAACGGGGCGGTCGGGGAGCCTAGTGGGTAAAGCAGAATTTCACTATGTTGAAGAACCATCATAGTGATAGCAATTCGTAATTTATATTAGTACTGTGTACATAAGAGTATAGAATCCTAGTTCTGCTCGCCTTGCCCAATTGTGTGTTGTTTTGTTGACACCTAACATGGATATACAACATCGGCGCCGCAGTTTCTCGGGGATTAATTAATCAAAGTTGTTCAGACTAGGGGTGTTGCGTCTATACCCCAGATTTGGGTAGATTATTGGTAGACTGAAGCTTATGGTAGTACCTAGGCCCTATTTCAAGGGAGGTTTGGCGCTATTATTAAGTTTATCATTTGCTTCAAATGTTATTCATAAATAATTATATCTATCCATAACTAGAATTTTTGCACCAACCAAGGTCCAAGTATTCGTTTCTTCTATTTTACTTGATTTGCCAAACACTGCAACATTTGTTTTTTCACCTTTAATCTTTAGGTTATTTGTTACACGAAATACTCTTAGACCATCAAATAACTCGTGCAGAATTTTTGGAAGTGGCAAAAAGTACAAAGTCATCGGCAAACAACAAATGACAAATGTTTAAAACATTAAGTGTTATTTTGTTATTTTCTTGTTTGATATGTGGTGGACGATCATTGTGGAATATATTAAATAATCTGGGAGACAAAATGCACCCATGTCTTATGCCGATGTTGGATTTAAAGGGTTGTGAAATGCCCCGTCAATTTTCACTTCATAAGAACTATTTCCTGACATTTTATTTGAAATAGCTTTGTTAGGGGTAGTGCTCTGTCAACTGAATCAGAGGCCTTTTGAAAGTCTACAAAGGAAGTGTATACATTTTTCTTTTTACTTTTTGTTAAAACTATTAAATAAATATTTTATGAACAAATACATTACTTGATGTTCGGTAGCCCTTTCTTAATCCAGAATGAATATGTTCATTTTTGGAAACAAGAAGTCTAGACACTCTAGACTCTTTCCTTTTAGGGTCTGTTAGGGGACTTGTTTGTTAATTGTGACGTGATACATTCTGTGGCAAGTTCCAGATCCCAGAGGAGTTTCTAGGGAGTTAGAGATGTCACAGCAATAACTGGATAACACATTTAGTGCTTCTGTGAGATCCTAAAAGATAAGCACATACTACCTGAAACCCAGAATGGGGCATGCGGTTGACATTCTGTAAGAATGAGGTTCATGAAGTTGACAGGGCTAACTGATACATATAAACAAGGAACATCCTGCCTCATGATAAAAGTGCTAACACCAGCTAGCTACAGATTTTTGAAACTTAGGCCGTGGTCAGCCTTTAACATACCCAGGGCATCTCACAACAGACTCTCAATAAGACTCAGATATTTACAGAGCGCTGAGAACTCACAAACAGGGCTATGTAACTTTCAAGACTGGATCATGTCCAAAAAAATATTTCTTGCAAGGTACGTACTATTTTTTTAAATTTTCGTGCAACGTGGAAAGGAAGCAGGATTTGCTTTCAAAATGCCACTTTGGGAAACATGTACATTATCACGTGTTAGTTTTTAGTAATTTATTAAAATAGAGGCGTTTCTTTTCTCCATGTTTGCGGGTATAATATGTCCAGAGTTTTGTTTAATGGGTTTCAAATGGTTTTCGATTAGTATGTGCTCGCATGTGAAACGTAAAATATTAAAATTTCATAAAGAAGAGCACTCCACGTATCTTTCATGTCGGGGACAATACGTATTGAATGACGGTAGGGTGAAGGGCGTTTAGGTTTGACTTTATCATATGCGCAGTGGAAATGAGTATCTATTGTTCTTTTTATGTAAAATACATTCATTTGAATATTACTTTTTCTCATGTTATGTTTACATAATGTTATGTTATGTTATGTTATGTTATGTTATGTTATGTTATGTTATGTTATGTTATGTTATGTCATTAAACATTCTTATGGAAGGAAGGAGATAATAATGCTGCATACCCGCATTTGAAACTATTTCCATGCTCCTGGATTTGCCACTAAGTTTTCAGGCTATTTCCAAAGGGATGTTGTGTAGATAATCTCCCCCGTGTTAAAGGAAAGCCATATAGTGTTCCAAAGGGGGTATTGAGAGACTCCTTTTACGTTTGTTTATACCTAAATAGTTAAGGAAGGAGAAAATAGTATTTCAAATATAGTTTTCCAAACGGGGCACAGAACGATTCCGTTTACTTTTTTTTATGCCTAACTAGTTAAGGAAGGTGAACATTGTATTTCAAACACGTATTGTAAACTATTTGCATGCAAGAAATGCGAGGCTCCCAGATGTGCCACTACGTTTTCAGGCCATTTCCAAAGGGACATTTGCATAGACAGCCCCTCGTGTTGGTTGGGTTGGTTGGTTGTTTGGTTGTTTAACGCTGCACTCAGCAATATTCGAGCTATTTGACGGCGGTCTGTAAATAATCGAGTCTGGACCAGACAATCCAGTAATTAATATGATGCGCATCTCTTCACGCAATCGGGATCGATGATCGTGTCAAAGCGAAGCTATATATCTTCCCAAAGTGCGTTTTTAAACAACTCTTTTTAAGTTATTTGATGCCTAAATGAATGTGAAAAGAACTAATACTATTTTAAACCCGTATTTTAGCGTTCCAAACGGGGTGTAGAGCGAATACATTTACGTTATTTATGCCTAAACAGTTAAGGAAGGAGAAAATAGTATTTCAAATATTTAAACTACTTCGATGCGAAAAATGCGAGGCTCCCAGATGTGCCACTCAGTTTTCAGGCTATTTCCATAAGAACGTTTGCATAGACAACCCCATGTAGTAAAGGGAAGCAATATAGTTTCTAAAAGGGGGTATAGAGCGACTGTTTTAAAGTTATTTTATGCCTAAATGGTAAAGGAAAGAGATAATAATATTTATAATATTTCAAACCCGTATATTAAACCTTTTCGATGCGAAACATGTGAGCCTCACAGATGTGCCACTAAGTTTTCAGGCTATTTCAATTGGGACGTTTGCATAGACACACACACGTACACACGAACACACGAACGTACGCACTCATTCACTCACTAACACACAAATAAGAAAATTAAAGTAATGGTATATGTTAACTATATTGTTCGTACTATATATGGTTATAGAAAGAGATGGCTGAAACTCGTTAATGGAATTGTGATATACATAAACCAAGAGCATATATTCCTAGTTATAAAGACATTGGTTCTAGTTGAAACTGCCTACACCTTGTGCTAAAAACTGGTAACAGTGTTAACATAAATTTAAGAATTCTAATGGTTGTACACATTTCTTCAAATGTTTATATATTGTCATTATTTTATTTCTTCCAGGCATGGACGTTGTGAAACAAACGTGAGTATTATTATCTACAGTGGCCATGTAACCTAGACATTGTAGCACCCTACCTTCAGTTGGTTACAGGTTTTCATAAATGCACGGCGAAGATAATGGATATCGACGCGTTATGTTTCATTTAGTACTCATAAATGTAAGTGGCTTTACACCACTCAGTGTCCTGGAGTCTCAAGCAATAGAAAAATAGGACTTCTTTTGAAAACTTGTTGATTTTACACTTTCTACCTTTGTCTACAGAATGAAGACATATGGCACACAAAAGAGCTCGGCACATGTAAGAGTTTACTGGCTAAAGTTGATGGAATATTCCAGTGCAAACTGTGTCCAGAATCAACGTCACGGCGGTACAATATCAAGGAAGGACACATAAACAAGCACACACAACATGACGTCAAAGTTGGGGGTATGTATAAATTGGTGTTTGTTATTAATCTAATATTGCGTGGTATGTACCTAGCGTATACGTGGCATTACGCATACGTGTAAAACGGTGTCCATTACACAACCTCACAAGCCCAATGCACCATTTTATCTGGTATAATAGTGAGGTGAGGTGAGGTAAAATGGGGTTTAACGTCGCCTCGAAGATTATTGCACTATTTAGTGACGTGCATGCACGTGTTTGTGTGAGTGGCTGCTTGTACTGGTCCGGACTGATGCCGTTTTAAAGTGCTAGCTCACTAAGATACCATGCCTCAGTTTAACATGAATACCCCACACAGAGACAGCATACTGACTCCGAGCCGACCAGTCCTTGTTTTAGCACCTTAATGCCGAGCGCCAGACATGTTAACAACAAGTACCATCTTTTGGTATGACGCGGCCGGGGATCGAACCCCGGACCTTCCGCTCACCGGGCGGACGTTCTACCACTAGACCACGGAGGCGGTCCGGTATAATAATCCGTATTTGTGTCCTTGCAGATTTATGGGTGTTAAGCTGCTTTTTGGATTGTACTCCGAAACAAGACCGGTGCCATTACCACTGCCCGTGTGGTAAACTCTTTCGGAGAAAGTTCACATTTGTCCGACACACGACCACGGTTTGCCCTTTTGTTCTGACAACAAACCAGACAGCTTCTGAGGAAAGAACTTCAGCAGAGTCCCCTAACATCCAAAAAGTGAAGAGAGAGCAAGTTCCGAAAGAGACATGTTTTGTCTGCAATGCAATGATCTCTAAGAAAAACATTAAAAGACATATTGAGACACACAATGCACGGGATGAAGTGAAAACCAAGTCATACCAACGTGGAATATGCGTTGATAAACACCGCGGTCTCTACATGATCAGCAAGTCCAGTATCGCTCCAGATTACCCACTTCATGTACAAATGAACACTGTCACACAGCAGATACAATGTGAACATGAAAATTGCAATTTAGCTTTGGGTGTTGCAGCAAGGGGCAATGTAGGTATTTATCAGTGCCCCCATTTGCAATCAGTTATGTTTGCAAGTGAATGCCCGAAAGAAGTACACCTCCAGTCAGAACATGCTGAAAATCTTTGTCAACAGAAGGTAATACATTCTACTAACATGCAGGTTGCCCAGAAGCTTGTAGGCACTGCAGAACAAAGCAAAATACCTGTCGTCGTTTTATGGGAGCAGAAGCACTCTGTAAACAGCGTTTATTTCTCCGTGTATGATGGAACGAAGGAATACTGGGCTAAACTCGGTCGCGCTGTAGTCACATTCTTCAAGGACAAAGGACAGCTGAATTGCGTTTGCTGTAAAACCACCAAATCTTGCGTACACAAGACTCTTGTCAAATGGTATTTGGCACAGGAACACCCAGAGTTGCTGCACATTAGCTCCAAGGGAAGCGGTTACATCTGTAGTGAGAATGAAGGGGTATCAGTTGGACATTATCGTAGCGAGGAACCAACAACATCGGTCACCTTTGAAACCCGAACCTTACAAGATTCCGGAAGCAGCTTCTGTAAGACATACCCACCATCCGGACAAGGTGCACGTTTAATGGCCAATTATCTAATGTCCAGGAAGAAAATACCACCAGATTTTAAAGTTCCGGAAAATGCCCAATTAGGACATCTAGAAAACCTGTCGCCTATCGAAACACATTGTGTAATGTGTGCAGATGGAGGAGAACTTGACCAGTACCTGGTAACCAGAAAGGGGAAGATATACGATAAAGGTCATGTGTATACAGGTATGTATGGTGACCGTAAATACCTTACAACAATTTATGCAAACAAATGAAAATTACTTCCTAGCAAATGAGAGCCAATTTATGAATGTGGACTGTAATTTGTAATCCGACAGGTGATATTGCTTGGGTGAGATGATGCGATATTACCTAGGACATATTGCTTCAATGAAACTGCATCATAATGCTTTCCAGACTATTGTGACGTCATAAGTTGTCACAACATAACTATCTAATGGCATAACTAATCTGTCTACCATCGAAACTGGGCAAGCTATGGCGATTTAAACTGTTATTGAACCGTGTTGATATAGTTGGCATAAAAAACACAAGGGTGCGATTGTCTGTATAGTGTATCATAATAGTATGATTTTGAATATGACTTTTCTCTACAATGTTTTAATTACATTATTTCATTGTCAGATATAGCTGTTTTCATAAAGAAGTGCAAAGCGTGCGGTCACTTCTACAGGTACCAAGAGCACAGGGATGGTATACACAATTTTGACGACCACGTGTTCCTGTCAGTTCGCCTGTGCCACTGGTTCAGAGTTAACTTGAAGGTACATTATACCTAATTTAGTTAGTTTATGGACGACTCCCTTCTCCAAAACAACACTTTGCATATTTATGTGATCGTGATATCTGATTGTTGTATGGCGCATTGTTTGTTGATATATGCACTTGATGTGGGCCGGTGACATTCGGACTTTAAACACTTTTGACTGTTAACTTAGGATTAGTTTAAAATATCGGCATAATGAATGTGATCAATTTCGCCTGCTTAATGGTTTCAGAATCATACAGCCGTAGGAAGGGCTGCCGACATCTTATCAGAAGATTCCGGCTTACATTTTCCCGGAGACAAAATGTTACAGGGATATCTGCACTTTGAGGCAATGTGCGATCACAAGTACAACTTTACCTGTGACATCTGTGGCCGTTTTCCATGTTGCCTGGTGACAGATGCAAATAGGAAATGTGCATTTCCATTAGCATGTAAGTCTATTTTATAACTTCCAGTGTCTAAGAAATGTATAAGCGCATTAACGATGTAGTTTCAAAATATAAAAATGGAAAGCAAAAATGTAAGGTCCATTATCTCATGGTTGGTCACAAACAATATCCCATAATGATGTTTCCTTATCCCTGTTCTCTCGTCTGTTATGGTAAACATGTATTGCTTACAGTGTCACAAGTACCAGGGACAGAAACAGCTACAGATGGAATCAACATGGATGTGTTTTGGAGCCAAACGGTGGAGGCGTCTATTTTACTTCGAGGTTTTGGAAAAGGTGCAAATCCTCATATTGTATTATAAATGACTCATCTTGTCTGTGTGTGTGTGTGTGTGAGAGAGAGAGAGAGAGAGTGAGTGAGTGAGTGAGTGAGTGAGTGAGTGAGTGAGTGAGAGAGAGAGAGAGAGAGAGAGAGAGAGAGGGGGGGGGGGACTAAAATTAAACTTACTGTAAGGATATTGTTTATATACACTATAATGTATTTATCATTTCATTCCCTGGCAGAAGCAGCCAACGTCGGGCGTGTTACACCTAGTTATGACAACTGGGCTCCTTTCATTGGATTAGCCAGAAAAGATGAAAATGCTTTCAACACTGAAGCTGAAAAAGTACGATCTCTCAGAACCCATCTTCAAGATACAGATTTTGATACAGGGGATAAGGAACTGACTGAAGATTTCCTGATCCAAATGTTATGTGAAAAGAAGGTAAATATGACATAATCGAAAGGCCTTATTGATATCAACTAGGCACATTTGTATAATTCTTGCAATCTTGATATGCGTAGGTAGTAATATTACAAATTGAGATATGATATGATATGATATGATAAGCATAGTCACTCATGTTTTCGACATTTTCTATATCATATCATGTAGGTTCTGGATGTACGGCACTGGTGTACAAAGATGGAAGTAGACGCCAAAGGGACCAAATTAGAGATGATCAACAGCTTGAAGGAAAAGTTGAAAAGCAAATCAACCTTCAACAAGTTATTTTCAAGCATATGGGGCCATTCTGGTAATTATGCCTACTATTGCATTTAAAATGATGAATAAAACATATTATTAATATAAACATGCAATTTAGGGTATTGTTCAATGTATGTGTACGCTGTGTGTGTTCCCACATTCAAGTGCCAGACCAAATGATGCAAAATAACTACTTACTTTGTAACACAGTGGCTTTTGCTTGGTAATATTATTTTCGTTAAATGTCTTCAAGATAAGCCATCCCCAGCCCCCTCTGCATAAGAACCAGCACTGAGTCTGTTAATGGAATGTCATTTTGTAACTTGAAACTCCACAATCTCTGCTCGGATCCGAGCACATTCTGACTACTGGAGGATATAGTATACTATTAAAAGCAAGGTTAAACCAAATGTGTCCCATCACTATGTTAATGTTCATTCAGGTGGATGGGTATCAGCGTCCTGCCCCCATAGAATAGTGTACGCGTTCAAAGCTATTCTGAGGCCTGAAAGTGTCAGAGACCATGTCGACATAATTCTATCTATGTCAAGACAACCGCCAGTCATCATTAGTGACGTAGCCCCAATGATGTCACGCCATGGTAACAAGCGGCGGAAGAACATGCCCAACGAAGGACGCTTGGGTGAAGCGACTGCAGACAACATAAAAAAAGCTAAGGAGGGGGTATTTTCAAAGAGTATACCTTGCATGAAGGAATGGGTGACAGTAGCACCAGTCTCCGACAATGATTTGCCAACCTCAAATGAAACGTTCTGTTTGCTGGATAGGTTTCATGAAGGGAATACAAAATCAGATGAGGAACTCCTAAGGCGTATAACGTTTGTTCCCGAAATGAAGGGCTCAATAAATTCACAAGTTGAAGAGCAGCTGCACAGGGAAATGAACCGGAACAACTACTTTCTAGATTCGATGTCGCCGGGTAACTACATGTTTGTCCTGCGATTGCTTCTACATTTTCACAATGAACATACAAACAGGAAAATGACAGAAGCAATCAAAGGAAAACTGAACACAGACATTTCGTATGGTGAAATACGTCATGACAAGTTTGGCCGCCTGCATCTTTCAGGTAAGAACTTATAAGTGGCATTCTATGACATGATCATATATGACGTTTATTGGGAAGCGAGTGAGTGAGTATGGTTTTACGCCGCTTTCATCAATATTCCAGCAATATTGCGGCGAGGGACACCAGAAATAGGCTTCACATGTGGGAATCGAACCCGGGTCTTCAGCGTGACCAGCAAGCGTTTTAACCACTAGTGTACTCCACCGTCCATATGAAGAAATTGAATACAATATAATAGGTTGACATTATTTTGACGATATACGCCAATCAGCACGCACAAGCGTCGTATTTCATTTCCAAAGTGACATTTTACCTTCCAGATTTGGACAATGCAGCAGAAAAAGAAGGTAAATTGATACAATTTATTTCTAACATGTTGACATACATGTACCTAAACATGCAGCATGATTTAGCATCCATTAAGTGCCATGTCTAATTATAAGTTAGATGACAAGAAATAATAAAGGCTCTTGTTGTATTTTATTTGAACTTTTACAATGGCATGTTAAACTTTATCTGTTGTTTTTCAGTGATCCATTCATATAATTTTCAAGGCTATTGTTCCTTTTACAACCAATGGAATCTGCTTCGTTGGATAATCGAGATAATCGTTCTGGTGTTGACCTTTCATATTTACAGAGAAAACAGACCTTTGGACGAGGACTGAAGACGCACAGAAGCACAAGAAAATATCGCTCAAATGTAAGTAACATTTATGTATCTGTTGGGCAGTGTGGTACCCTAGAGGTCGGTGTTCTTCCCGATGGTCAATGTCCGATTTCACACGTGGGAAATGCATGAAGCAAATGTCTTATGTCCCTGTATGGGATATTGCTAGAATAGTGCTAACAGCGGCATCAAATATTAGTCATTTCACTGATGAATCTGTTGACCTGCATGTATTTTTTAACACATTAATATAATGTTTTAATGTGAAGTTCACATGTCATGAAGTCACATATCATGTCAAGAGGCCGGTCACATGACCACGAAACTGACGTTTATAAGCGTATGAACAACACACATTGAAATTTAGATGCATGTCTTCATGAGACTGTATTTCAGAAATTGTCGTAAACAATGGCGGACTTCTTCCACATCCCCATGGGAAACTCCTGGGAATTCTCTATCACGAAGAATTGAGAAGTGTCAGTATTGATCATTTGGGCATTTTCATCTTGAACTTAGGGTTTCTGCATACAAGTGTTTGACTGTATGGCAGTGATGGAATATCCTCGTTACGACTCATCCTAGTGAACATAATATTTAAAGATATGCACACACAGACTATAGACTCGATCCGTGCCTAGATTGATACATGTGCACACACACACACACACACACACACACACACACACACACACACACACACACACACACACACACACACACACACACACCACACACACACGCACACGCACACACACACACACACACACACACGCACATATATATATATATATATACACACACACATATTGCCTACTTTTTATTGTACGTTTGTATGATACAGATCACAAAGTTACCTTGAAACAACTGCAAGAAGCACTGCAGAAGGCTAGTCCATCAAACGTGACAACGTTTTGCCAAGGGACATCAGAACGACTTCTGGCCTCGGTAACCGAACACGGGCTGCGTTTTAGAGGGAGAACTCCCGGAGATGGCAACTGTTTTTTCCACGCAGTTGTAGATCAGCTTCAACGCCTCGATACCAGATCAGTGTTTGACCACAGGGGACTAAGGATGGCAGTAGTTGACAGCCTACGGAGGTATCCTTATGTAAGTGCACACCGGACCATATATTTGTGCATATGTTACGTGTTATTGGTCTGGTGAGGGTACTGGGGTTGCCCTTCGGGTGCAGATACACTCGATAAGTGAATACAGATGATACAGGATGTCTGCGCACATCATTCAAATTCATAACACAGGTATTCAGTGGGGTTCAGGTGGAGGTACGAAATTTCGCTGGACAAGGCAGTTCCACGACTGGCATAAAACATGCCGACTAAAGTGGAGGATAAGGTCAGTTCTATAGCTGTGTACATGGTCGGTATTTTCTAACATGGTTAATGGACGTAACTCTGCACAGCGAATAGATGACAGCTCCTTGTTCCTCGCCCCATTCAACCTCACCTCGCTATGATTAGAGTTTAAGGCGCATGTAGGTGTTTAATTTCAGAGAGTGATCGTGGTTTTAGCTGGTCAATGGAACCGTTGATGACCTCAGAAATTAGATCCATAGATGGTACTCATGTGGGAAATGTAACAATGGCTTGCGGCGTGACAAGCAAACGTTTCAGCCACAATACTACACCCACACCCTAAGTGTGCCTAAAATTGATATATGATGAATTACTAATTAAAATGCTACCAAACCTGCTTGTGTAACGTCAATTATATATACTTGTTTTCTATAGGAAGGAGGCACACACCTATCCAATTTTGTCGATGTGCAACGGCACAAAACCTGGAACCTTTACTTGGAGGCCATGTCTACACCGGGTGAATACGTTGATCACCTTGTAGTACAGAGAACATCGCAGTTTCTCAAAAAGGACATTGCCGTTTTCACAAGTTCCGAAGATGGAACCGCGTCCGACAGCAATGTTGTAATGATATGTGGTGGACCAGGAGCGGCTATTATGTTAGGTCACTATCATGAAGCACATTATCAAAGTCTAGATTTCCAACGTGCTGGTAAGTATTCTATATTCAATATTTTCATTCATACGGGTTTCATGTATAAGTAACTAAAAGATCAAATATGAAATAAGTACCCACTTTTGCCACACATTTGCTTTCACCAACAGTTCTTCTATATCAATTCTTCTAATTCAAGAACCTGGGCCAGTGGTTGGCATAATAAGTGTTATCATCCGATACATTTTAGTCGTCTCTTAAGACAAGCGCTGGCGACTTATTCTAAATAAATACAAAGTATAGAATCTAATACAACCGCATACAACGCGGAATATTTCCTTTAACTATCACCACTATTGAGCCTTTTACGCCCAGTGGAATCTGTTTCGTCAGATTATCGAGACTGGTTAATCGCTGTCGTTGACGTGTTACATTTAAGAATTAACTTCAATATATATCTTTTGCTTTTATGTTGGTATAAAGGTAAAAACCGGTTTGCACACTGTGTACATAAGCATAAATAAGTACGTCAACGATAGTAACTTCACAGACTGTTCATTAAACACACAACTGTAGCCAACATTTCGAGCTAAAACAGCGCACACACTTCATAAGCCAATCATAACACAGTTAGTGACCTAAATATTTTTCGGTAATTGTTTCCGCCTAAAATTCCTTGGTTAGTCAATGAAATGCCATGGAATCACTTGCAATGTATATAAGTACAAGTAATAAAAAAAGTATACATGACGTATATGTCATTTTAGCAAGCTGTTGCCGAAACAATCCGTCATTGTTATTTTAGGACAAGTGGAATGTTCCACCGCGCAAGCAGATTCATCACCATTGCCGGCGGAGGATGTGGTGAGTGTGATGAAACATATTGATATTTTCGTCTTTACAAATATGCTTACGATACAGGACGAACTGCCTTAAGGTAGAGAGTCATGTAATAATGTTTGTTATTACAGGGCGGTTTAACTTTAACTGTTACTTGTAACCTATAACTAAGTACACTTACAATATATAAAGGAAATATAAACTTGGCGGATACAATGATATCTTTGATATATAGATATAATTTGTTGTATGTTTTTCAGTTTCAAGATATCTGTAATGATGACAGAAGATTGGACGAAATAGTAGTGACGATAGGTCCCTACCGAATATCAAAATTGGATATTCTGACAATAGCACCAATACTTCCGAAAGAAACAGAAGACCAGCTGAGAGTGAAAATTGACAAAGAGACCAGATGGACTGTGGGCTGGTTAAATGATCAGGTATGTGTACACCACTGTATACACATGAAGTACATTTATTAAACGGTGATAAAGTGGAACAATAACGTTAATAATATTATGTTTCTTTGCAGATAATAAACGTCTTCTTGTATGTGCTGTGTCAAAGGCGGGGGGTAAGTGACAGGATATTCAACATACCGTGATATATACATATGATATGTACAAAATGATATGTAGATATGTTTACAAGATGCCATGTCATTCATTAATAGATTAATCAACTTTGTTACAAATTGTGATAATGTGTGCAAATGCCAAAACAATATTCGTCCTTGAATATATCACTTGCTATTTTAGAATATGTTATTTGTTTCGGGGTAAGCAGAGAAACGCAGCTTTATCAAGCCAAGTTATAGAGGGATGGCAACATTTCAAGTCCAAAAGGAGACGCCGGGCGCCACTTGTTCAAAAGGTCAGAATTGCTTTTTAGAAATATCTGCAGTTACAATTTTAAACTGAAGACAAAATATGCCAAGGGAATATATAGTTTTTTTATTCGCCCGTAAAGAGATCACCCGTTTAATAAACATACAGCTGTATAACACGTTGTATAATACCAAAGCGCGTGCTTATATACTGCGGGAACAAGTTTCAGTAACAAATATTGAAAACTCCCAACATCCCTGGGCTTATTCAACGACATTGCGTGTAGTGACGATAGATCACTGAGAGGGTATGCACACGCAATGACCCTCTCAACCCTGATGCTATGCTGACGTCACATGACATTGTTTCGTGGTTGGATCTTGTAACAATATTCTACATATTACGTCAGAGGGTATTGTGACGTGTTGTAATCTTTTTGATGCAGCATCCTGTTCCACAAGTCGATAGTAGAGCAACGACAGACGTAAGTTTATGTTACTATAAGGGTAAATCTATTTTTCAGTGCATTATCATTTGCAGAAGCCCGAGGTCTTCCATTAAGACCGAGGGTTTCTGCAAATGATAATACCCTGAAAAATAGCGTTACCGTTATAATAGCTAAAAAGGATGGAATTTGTTATCAAATAAAAAGAATCAACGATATCGGTTTTGAAACATTTACTGCAATCAACACGAATGTCACTGACCCGCTTTTACAAATATGGAAACGCCATAGAACAAACCAGATGACGTCACTATTGAACATGACGTCACCTATCCCTATCCGAACAAATAGTCAAAACCCAAGTATGACATCATCTGGTTTGTTCTATGACATTTCCATATTTGTAATAGTGGGTCAGTAACATATTTAGAAAAGTTATAAACGGCAAGTAATAAATAAATTACTAAGCTCGCTCCTGTTTAATAACATTTTTATGAAACTCGTGAATAGTTTCTTGTATCGGACTCCCTTTCGATCGTGAGATACCAGAACTATTCACTCGTTTCATACGATAAGTATTACAAAGGAGCTCGTTTAGTATTCTCTATTTGTCATAAAGTGGGAATGGGTAAAGAGAAGAATATTTCGAAGATGACGTTGAGGAAAAGATATCATTCACTGTCGGTTGGTGAATAAGAATCGCCTAGCCTTGCAAGGCTTGTCATTATTGAGAAAAGAAAATTAAATCTTCAAGAAAAAGCGTTTTCTGAAATTGACAGTATCATAAGTGAGATAAGATGCACTGGAAGAGTTTCTGAACCGCCGAAAGACGCCGACATATTGAGGAAATGAATTGAATGAATTGAATAAAGTTGATGAAGACAAACATTCCCTTAATGTAGCAACAGGTAACTGGATACATGTCAAGTCTAATCGTTGCACATATATGAAACCTTAAGACGGGATATTATGTTGTTTGTTGTTGTAATGCCACAATAAACAATAGTCTAGGTATATGGCGACGTTTTAATCATGTACATGCTACTGTTGGAACTACTTCTAGATTAACAATATGATATGAGGTACGGTATGAAACAAAAGGTATGTTTTCAAGATGGATGCATGTTGTTATACTGTCTTCAGTTGTCAGATATATATGGGCAGTGAATGTCATAAGAAACGTTTTAATAGAAGATAGATGCAGTTCTTTTGATGGTTAATGTTTTAACATAATGACATGGAAACGAACTATGTACATGAGATGAACATAAATATAATTTACCAGTGATATTTTATTCAATTAAATATTTTATGGCTAACTGAAAATTGCCACAACACAACAACATAGGCTACTGTGAAAGACTCGCTACACTAATAAAGAAAACAAAATTTAATGTCCTCAATAATATATGTGAACAACCGATTGCCTGTTAATACATATGATACCAGAGATGTTCAAGGGACGACATGAGATACCGTTTGTAGGCTGAGATTAAGTACACAATGCCGTGAGACAGCACAACCTTAGTCCTGTACTGTAGATTGTAGGTATTTGAGTATTGTTCCGAATGTAAAGGACCATGTTCGTTGTATTTCAGGAAAAACTCTCGGAAGCAGAGAAAGTGTTTATACCGATTCACAGACATGGAAGCCATTGGACATTGCTGGTAAGTTGTATTTCCTAGGTATTTGAGACAGAAATTGACCACACATGAATGGTGCCTATCGTATGTGTGTAGTTGTGTGACTCACGTCGAAGTGTGTGGGCGTGTGTTGGATTTCAATCGTGTGACTGAATTTCGGGTCGATCACTTGATCCTCAGATTTGTGTACAGGCCCACGTCGGATGGCAACAAATACATACCTTTTTGTGCAAATTGTGTGAATGGCAGTTGCTTCCATTTGGGGAGACATGCTTACCCCTTTCGTAAAAACCTGGCGTCGTCTTTGATTTTCAGTTTACCTTTATGTGAAGGTCACATATAGACGTACAACAGTTACTGTCACTCCTTATTTCTGACGCAGGTGTTGGATGTACAAGCCAAACGAATGCGCTTCTATGACCCCTTGAACCGGAGATTAGACGAAGAAGTGGTCAACACAACAAGGTAGGGTTGCTGAATAAGTAAATGCCCTATATCGCCACATCTATATTAATAAATGAAGTAGTTTTATAGCCTTACAAGTACATGGCTGCTTACGTTATTACTATGAACTGCTGCGTTGCCTGTCGGTCCAAACTCATTGCATTTGCACTTTTCTTCAAAGGGAGTACATGGAATACAGACTTCAGAATGTACCAGATGATGCAATTGACCTATCAAACTTCAACGTAGAGGTCAGTCATGAGTACACCACACAGACGGATGCTACAAGCTGTGGTGTTTGCATATGCATAGTGAGTACAGCAAGGTCTTAGAAAGAGTTGTTCAAAACTGAATAATAACGATTAAATATTTTCTCGCCACTGATTACACTTTGACTTATTCACGGTTACTATGAAGAAAATATTTTTTTTAAATTTATGTAAATGAAAGAATACCTGGAATAGTGAGTGATTTAATGGTCACATTGAATATGATTTCGTGTTTCAGTATGCGTGGAACGAATGCAGCAAGGACAAGAAGGTACGACCGTTTTTGTGGTGTATTGAAGTTCTAATGTATAGCAGTTATATTACAGACGATATGTATCAATGATTATTTTTAAAATAAAAACATGACATATTTTGCAGTGTGACCCGAGCAGTTACCGTTCTTTCATAGCCAAAGAAATTTTGAATGCAGTGAAGGATGTGGAACCAAAGGTACTTTATTTGTGCACTGTGAATAATTGTGACAGTAATGGGCATATACGCTACTGTTTATTGTTCGTAAGCTAACCAAAGGTATGTGTCACAAATATATCCCCGTATTTCGAATATTCAATAAGTAATTCACATGCAATTCTATTCTACTTATAAAATATGTGCTACTTGGAACATCGTTCCATTTCAGAATACAACAAAGGAAATACGAAGCAAATACGGACTGCGGGAGCAAGTTCCAGTGGTAAAACATAATGAGGTTTCACTGATACATCTAGATGGTCGATTCCATTTCATGTAGTACTGAAAATACATTTAGTATACATGCGACCCGTGAAGATCCGGGTAGAATAGGTCTTCAGCAACCCATGCTTGCCGTAAAAGGCGACTATGCTTGTCGTAAAAGGCGACTAACGGGATTGGGGGGTCAAGCTCCCTGACTTGGTTGATGCATGTCATCTATCCCAATTGCGTGGATCGATGCTCATGATATTAATCACTGGATTGTCTGGTCCAGTGGTCCAGACTCGATTATTTACAGACAGCCGTCATATAACTGGAATATTGCTGAATGCGGCGTTAAACAACAAACCAACCAACCAACTAGTACACATGCATGTGTTATGCACATAATGCATTAAGTACCCATGACAACAAACTGTTATGATTCATACCTAAAATACACCCGTGAAGATCCGGGTCAGAAAAGGGTCTTCAACAACCCATGCTTTTCGGAAAAACGGGGTCTGTGCTTGCCGACTTTTATTCAGTGAATTTATCTCCATAAGTTTGCATGGAAGTGATGCGACCCTATATACATGTTGTATTCACGTGCACTTTCTGGTTTCATAAGGTAATATAGAATTGACGTAATTTAATTCGTACTATAATTCATTAAACATAATAACTAGTAATAATGGTACACTGTTTCAAAATTTCATATAAAATTTATTCGCTCCTGAAATTCTGTTACTACACTCAGGACACAAATACATTTCTATATGTTTCTGAATCAGAAGAGATTTTCGGATTCGTGGTGTGCTGACCAACCTCTGCCATTGAAACGAATACGAAGACCTGAATATGCGGCATTGAAGATCCAAACACAGGTACAGAAAGTAAAATCTGATTCATGAAATAACTGAATGTTCTGTTCTTGCTCCATCACAAGAAGACTTACGAGAGTGTTGTACAGTTCGTATCTTAGGTTGATAAATAGTATACATTTGTTAAAAATTGGTTTGTGAATGACCATAGAATTGTTTGTATTTCATTTAGAAACCGAATCCTGAGGTGCAGCTTAAAAGGTATGATACTTTTGACAATAATATATGAAAACATTTTAATAATCATAATAAATCTTTGCTTGAAACATGATACGATTAAGACGATATCATAAGTTTGTGAATAATAAATTTCTATACTTGTGTCGCTTGATACACATCGACTAGTCACATAAGTTTGCAGGCAGTTATCATACAGCAATTAAAATATATTGGAGAAAGAATAATTACTAATTGCATTTACTGTTGCGAAAGAGGGAATACTAGAGATAATTATTAATTTACTACATATTATTGCAGCACAAAATGTGTCGAAAAGACGACAGTGACAAGAAAAGCCATGCGTGAGTATTTGTTTAGAAACCAACCTCATATAAGAATTAAGACACACATGCACGCACGCACGCACACGCACGCACACACATGCACACACAGACAAACACACAGAGAGAAAAAGATGCCCATGGTATAAACTCAAAGTATGAATATGTTTGTTTAATACAAATAGCGGTTCCTGCAGTAGACATGAAGGAATATGGTGACCAACAAGTGAACATACTTGCTGATGATCTCGAGGAGCTGAGGACTGTGGAACGATCAGAATTCCGAAATGTGGTATGAACATTCATATATATTGACCTACAGTTTCAGTTGTAAATATTATATTGGCATAACAACTTGTGAGTTTCAATATAGATAGATAGATAGATAGATAGATAGATAATTAGATAGATAGATAGATAGATAGATAGATAGTGTTAATTTCCAATCTCTAGACTGTAGTAAATGTGTCACGAATAACAATATGAAAACGTATTTTTGATGACGTTTTTATTCCATTGGATTTGTAACTTTATAAATATGTTTCTGTGTACACTTGATGAACGGTATAACTAGGAATGTTTTGTTCCTTTAGTTGGAAAAGATAATTGATGAAGATGTACCCAGGCTGTACCGGTACCCAACAAATGATACAGAAGAAGTACCTGAAGAGTTCAGGAGACATGTGCTTTATTTTCAACGAAAGAAGCTGGAGAGGAGCAGGGCCATGTCCCACCTCAATGCTGTTGTAAATATTACTCTAATTTGACTTCACGAATGTTGAAAACGCCTATTAATTTGCCAGTGTTTGGAAATACTGATAACCATCTCAACACAGAAATACTGAGTTACATATTAAATTTGCTTACAGATAAACGGTATGTTCATACTACAGTGACATTTGTCTAACCGGCCTCTGTCTAAAGCGGATATGCCCATATATGAAGATATTTTCGATCCAAACTTTTACACGTAAATTTATACTGAGAGTACATGACATGACTTAATGATAGAATGACTGCTTTCAGGGATATGCCATACTGATGCAGTCCATGGAGACACATTTGGTGACGAGGACAAGAGGTCCAAGGTAAGTATAGGATAAAATAAACTTAAGGAACATATTTAATTTTCCATCAAGAAGCTTCTGTTTGTTTGTCATCACTATATAAGAATCAAGCGCGTATTAAGAACGAATAAGCTTTGTTTCCACAACTGACCGATAGTTTTACGCTATACACTACCAACAAATATACAGAAATGATGTAGTGATTTATTTAATTTGCATTTTCAGACTTTATGACATCACAAAAAGAAATCTGATACTACCCGATGTTGTACTACAATTTGGACGTCCAAGGTATGTGACTGATGATTGTAAGTTGTAATACATAGTTCTGTCCTAATGGTTGTACGGGTGACAGAAACATGAGGCTTCAGCCATCACAAAAATTGCTGTCACTCGATTCATATATTTTTCAGGAACGACTATTTCCTCAAAGTGGTGGAAGATTTCATTTTCTACCATGCCAGAAAGCATTTCGAAACAAGGCACACAGGTATGTAATTCTTGAGTGGGTGAGTGAGTAAGTGAGTGTGATGTTCGTGGATATGAGTATACCAATAATAAATGAAAGGATTTGTCAGCATATTAAAGAGGAGAGAAAATGCCGAGGTCATGCAGGTCGAAGTCATGTAGGTCGAAGTCATGTAATCCTTAAATGACTGTCACTTCGTTGAAACCATTTTGTGTAAATATACTACTTTTGCATTTTCAACATGTATACTCGAACCGTGTTTTATCGAATGTACCGATATGTCGAACCTTGTCTGTGGTCGCGACCGCCTATACAAATACATATAAATTTACCCGCATCTGTCTAATTAGACACGATATAACATATCGTTATCTCGAAATTTGACTTAAATATTTAATGCTTGCCACGTTAACAGTTTTGAGAAGCGCAAATAAACATCTCGCATAGTTGTGAGCAATTCTCCTACATACATGCATGTATAGGCCTATTTGTAGTATATTTCTTCTCACATCTAACAATGCTGTAAATGGATTTTGAACCAATTGTTCATACACGTATGTAGTTACAATTTTGTCCAGTTGTCATGTATGTAACTTTTAGTTCGTTATTTTGTTTCAGATTCATGACAGATTGGATATGCGCTTATTTAAGAGAAAGCGTTATGAGTACATAAGAGTATATCTATTACAAAAAATGAGGACCGGGTTGATATAAGAGTGAGTGAAAGGTTGATACTGGAGTGAATGAGTGAGTGACATTAAGAAGATATGTTGTTTGAATATTGAATATTTGATGTTTGTGCTTAGTGGAAGGCCACAGAAAACTTGTTTAATAGAAATTAGCGTAAAGCAATTGACAAATTATCCACTTATTACAAGGCTGGATAAGTGAAAGAGAGCTAAATATTCCAATGAACAAATACGCGAAATTGCAGCAAATTAAGAACATGTAGTGTGCAATTCATGGGACTAAATTAAATATAAAAGTCGTGTATGAACCCTATTTACTACTAGATTGTAATCAATACATTATAAATATGGGAACACTGCCCACTTCCTGGAATGTACAAGCAAAACAACCGAAACTAAACAACACATTAAAACACAAATGTTATTTCAGAAAGTGGTCATATGTAACAAGTGTCATATTTGGGACAACACTTTCTTAGTAAAGTACAAATTCTCGCACTTTGTTTGGTTGAGTCCCTATCTAATTACCCACTCAGCCACCGAGGCTTACGCAAAAATGGAAGTACGACTACTGGTAGTCTAGATCACGTACTTTGTGTACCGTTCTGACAAGTGTAAATTGGCACAGCTCCCATGGCCGAAAGCTATGAACTTTACTAAGAAAGTGTCATCCAAAATATAACATTTGTTACATATGACCACTTTCTAAAATGACATTTGTGTGTTCATAAACTTAGCACTTTTGTCTCCAAAATTACTATAAAGAATAAGAAGGCCTCACTGCACACTTTGGATAGCAGAAATACCAACCTGAATATAAATACAATACAAAGAACTATATATTGCACCTTACGGTTTATTAAGCAGCAGCAGCTGTGACAAGTTTATAACAATGTCATTCAAAGAAAAGAACTTACACAAAAGGCATCCGGTGAGTTATCACTGTTGGGGACAAGAGATCTACTCACGCACCGGGTGGCAAACTGGGCATCATTGAGCTGAGTACTCAAGCAGTCCAGACAGACACAACCCATGCACTGTGTCAAAGGCCGACAAACTTATTCTCAGATCTGACGTTTACAGAACACCCCTAATACATGAATCACTTCACTTAAAGTCAAAGGCTCTTCACTTAGTTTACTCTTTTCCATATTTTCAATTTTGTAGATATATGTTTGTACATCTAGTCTAATACCACCATTAGCCATCAAATGTATATAAAGTTCAGTTCAGTGTCGTCTGAAGGAACTTCCATACGTATGTGTAATGGACAGAAGTGACAGTCGCTAGGGCAACGTGAATGAGTGAACTGTTCATTTGAATAATTGTGTCATTTGTACTACTTGCTCTGTGTTTATATCTAATACTCTCTTAATTATGTAATCACGACCCCAAGAACGCGAGGGTTAGTACATGTACTGGTCTTCAGCAACCCATGCTTGTAGTAAAAGACGACTAACGGGATGCATATCATCGTATACCATTTGCGTGATCGATGCTCACGATGTCAATCACTGGATTGTCTGGTGTAGACTCGATTATTTACAGACCCGTGGTCATTAGCTGGAATATTGCTGAGTGCGGCGTTGAATAACAAATATAAATGTATTAATGGCCTTAAATGTTGATGTGACCCTATGGGGAGTCCTAAAGAAGTAGGCGTTGCCTCAAGTAACCTGTGCTTGTCGTAAGCGGCGACTTACGTGGACTGGGTGGTCGGACTCGGTGACTCGGTTGATTGAGTGTCACAGTATCCCGAGTGTGTTAATATTTGCTGGTGAAGCTATTTGAAGCAGGTATACCTAACACACCTTTTTTATTACAATGGATATATTATATGTGTTTATTATTCTGTTATGAATAAATGTCTTTGTTATCATGTACCCCAAAGTTTGAGTTCATTGTGTGCACTTAATGCATGTGTATGGTGTTATAGGCTTCAACGGCTACATCACGGCGTCGGGGGGCTGCAGGAATGGGCTTCAAACGAAACATTACCCCGATGTAAGGAATCGAACTCGACAGTTTAGGCGTTGATTGAGACACTGAGCTACCCTATCGCTAATATGGACATATTTTCTTCACACCTATTACATTTACAAATATTACCGTGCACAGTGGAATCTGTCGGGACAGGACTTTAACTAATCAGCATTTGTAATACAAGGCGATATCAATGGTGCCGAATATACTATGATTCATAATAATACTTCTATAATATTCCTAACACAGGCCTCTGTAAAAATCAGACTAACTTTCGGCCCCACAATAAGTAAAACGTTCATTTCACCTGGATGTCAAAACAATGACGCAATGAAGTCCGAAGCAGATATTCCACTGTACTACACAATACACATTGAACGTCAAAAGCCCATTGGATGAATGTGCAATTGCAATGCTGATGCGATAGGGTAATTCTCTCAAATGTTGGAGGCAAAGGGAATTCCAAAGCTTTGTACACATAGATTGCGGTGTTCTCAGCATTCCAGAGAATCCTGCGCTCGTCCTTACGGTAGACTTCACCAAATGCATGGTGATAAATGATGATTTGTTTGTTGTTTAACGCCGCACTCAGCAGTATTCTAGCTATATGACGGCGTCTGTAAATAATCGAACCTGCACCAGACAATCCAGTGATTGACATCATGAGCATCTATCTACGCAATTGGAATAAGATGACATACATCAACTAAGTCAGCGAGCCTGACAACCCGATCCTGTTAATCGCCTTTTACGACATGCATGGGTTGCTGACGACCGATTCTAATCAGGAGCATAAACGGCGTCTCACCTACCATGGGAGGTATTTACAGGTTGTTACAATCAGCAATCCCCATTATTTGAATCGGCCAGATGTTGTATTTTTAGTAATTTATTGTGTATTGTTCGTCATACATGATGCGACACACTAATGCAATATTTTCGCCTTTGTTAACGGTACCAAAACACTACAGAGATGTAATGATGATTTCCCCTGATATTGTGCAGTCTGGATCAATTAGAATTGACTGAAGGGTTTGGCAATAACACTATGGTCATATAAATTCGTCTACCGTAAATAAACCAGAATTGATTAAGTAAACTATGTAACTAACTTTTCTGACAAACACTATATTTATATTAAAAAGTGCAGAACATTGAAAAAATATTTTAATTATCTCAAGAAGTCGGCGTGAGAGTTCTGGAGACGGATGTGAGTTAGGGGCGTCCCGTATTTCTACAGCCTCGTAATAAAGGATCTGGCGAGGGAGACTTGCCGCCAGTCTATGTAACTTAACTCTCCCCTGGGTTCACGCTTACTGGCACTTCCTTGTGGCTCCCGGCACACGGCACATAGGAGCCTTCCCCTACTCTATTTTCTACGTCAGAAAACAGCGAGGCATTCTGTCAGTCTGGGCTAACATATTGCATCGATGAAATAATGCAAACTCATTTTATTTATCAGCCTTTGTGTTATTTCCCACAACAATTCAAGCATTCAAATCACAACAAATACTACCATGGAGTTCAATTTAATAGAATTAGTGATACGCCAACATTTGCAACACACAGACATCTTTGACAGGCCTTTACCAATGATCTATATATAGATCTAGTAAGTATACATCCGTGCCTTTACAAATATTTTAAGAAGAAATAACGTTCAAAATAATGAAACAACTGATGTTACTTTTTATATCAAAATTAAAGTTGCATCTGAATATTTAAATTTATATTATTATTTTTTAGAAATAGGCCAAATGAACATCTACCATGCATCTATTAAGCATTCAGTTACTCAGTTGCAATATACATACTAGTCATCATACTTTGAAATAAGATATTTACACATATAAATCTGCCCCTTATAACATGTGTCCCATGTTAAATCATTGATCCATCATTTCTTACAGAATTCTGATACTCATGCTCTTAAAACAGTAGTAAATTACAGAGATTTGTCCCAACAAACAACAAATCATACTGACTACCCCACAAAATGTGTATGATGCATAAATAGATCTAAATCATAGTTTTAGCTTCTTGTTTTAGTAACATTATATTTATTTTAATGTTGACAAATTATTTCCCATACAAACCAACACACTATCCTGCTGTATCTAATTAAGTATCCTGATTTTCATTCAACACTACTTCAAGACACCTGTAGTAAAGTATATTTTGTAGATATTATTATCATATAGCAAATATGAATTTAGAAAGTTTATCATCAAATCTTCTGATGGTTAAATAAATACTAATTGAACCCCACAGTCATTCCATGTAGATAAATGGATTTATTTATGTTATTTGTTTGTGCATCTAACAGATTATACTTACATCAGTGTCAGTGTCTATAATCAAGCCCAAAATGTATTTTGACTGAAAATTTCAGTCAATATGCATATTGACTGATTCACTCAGGCAAGGTATATTTTTTCTTAAATCTTCATTCATTTATTATTGCCTGAAAAATAGGACCGGATTTTAGACAGACTGGCTGAAATGAATACGACTGCATAACTTAATCACCTCAATTTAATTTTGATCTATTTTGATCTTATCAAGATCAAAGTTACTTATGTAAGAAATTAAAAATGTTTTCACAATGAATTGATTGATTCTCCAAACCTGAAAGAATACCAGAGTTCCTTTTTAAGTTACTTATCTTTATTGGCATAATATTCAGTTCAAAAACAGATGACTGCTAAAAAGTCATGCATGTGTAATCAAATACTAGTACACATGCACAAGTGTGCCAAGATATTAAATTAAATAATAAGAGTCATTGTGCAATGCAGATATATTTTGGTGTGAAGAGAAAAAAGAATAACATTAATAATTTATTTATGTTGGAATTTGAAACATCAGTTTAGAACAAGGAAACATAAAAAGCAAGTCCTAATGAAGTTAAGAATCAGCTTTATCTGTGTCACAATCATATGATTATTGTCAATGCAAACTGGATGTAGACACTGCATTGATATTACAATCAACATTATAGAGTTTGACAATTAGTATGAATATATTGTTTTATTTTATAAAAATTGTAGTTGGTACAAATACTCTTGAAAAAGTATTTTAACTAATATATAGGGTCCTCTGTGTCTGAAATGTTTTTTCTTTGTAAAATCCCAAAAAGGCCAAAATAATATATATCTTTCATTGATCATATTGAAATATAATCATGGTAGTATTTGGCAACAAACAGCTACCATTCATATACATAAAATCCTTTTATACAACATGCACCATTAACCCTTGAATATCAAAACAGATTTCAGTGATTTCCATTTCTTTTATTTTGAACATTGTATCATGATATCTAGTTGATGACGTAATTTTACAGTGCCTGTTACTCTTACAATTTCTTGAGAACATTTCTCATTGCTCTCTGTTATATATCTGACAAGTACTTACAGGTGTGTCTGTCACAACATTAAGGCTACGGGCAACGTTGCATGAGACCTTCACATTTCGCGTACCGTATCGCCTCACCGCTGTACATACTGAAATGCATGCATATGATGTAGCCTGCTCGGCGATGCTACACAACATAGATATAGGAACGTATACAAAATCTACTTAATTTTTAAAAGTGTGATATTCATACATCAAGGGCACCACTTTCAGTACCGACTGCAAAACGTCAACAAAGCGACCTGGGATGAACGATCAGCTGATCTCACCGCATCGCTTCGAACGCCTATCTAGTGGTTAACTATACAATATAATCAGTCGTGGTCATCCCTGATGTATCATTAAATCAAGGAACATTTATTTCCGGACATGGCAATAGATAAATCATTGTTTAGGCGAAAAGATATACTGTCCACACACAAGCGTGACCGTTGCCGACAGAGGTGAAGGTTATACTAGTTAACTGTCTATAGGCGTCATAGTAACATGTAGTGCTCGTATCGCGCATACCACATGCGCCGTCAGTTTAAGGTTGGACCGTCCGGGTCAGCGCACCTAGCGGGTTAGTGAAGGGAAGATAAATTGAAAAAGATCGCCCATTGGATGAAGCCAAACGTACAGTAAGAATAACAAATAGCACACAGGCAATGAAGCACACGGGTGATGAAGCCAAACGTACAGTAAGAATAACAAATAGCACACAGGCAATGAAGCACACGGGTGATGAAGCCAAACGTACAGTAAGAATAACAAATAGCACACAGGCAATGAAGCACACGGGTGATGAAGCCAAACGTACAGTAAGAATAACAAATAGCACACAGGCAATGAAGCACACGGGTGATGAAGCCAAACGTACAGTAAGAATAACAAATAGCACACAGGCAATGAAGCACACGGGTGATGAAGCCAAACGTACAGTAAGAATAATAAATAGCACACAGGCAATGAAGCACACGGGTGATGAAGCCAAACGTACAGTAAGAATAACAAATAGCACACAGGCAATGAAGCACACGGGTGATGAAGCCAAACGTACAGTAAGAATAACAAATAGCACACAGGTAATGAAGCCAGATGCACAGTAAGGATACATCTCTGACTTTTGCTGTCACCACTGTGTTTGTGTATTTGATCAAGTTTCAAGTTGAACTCAGGTTCAAAACAAGGTTACAATTTGCGGTTTAATGTCAATTATATTCACAAACCTTTTTGGGGGTATAATGAGGTTTATCACATATACTTTGTTTGATTTATGTTCATATGTAACAGGGCAGGGGATATTGATGACTTTATCTTCTTGTTCGGTTTATATCCGTATATAGTATGCAATAGGTATATGCAATGACAAAATGGGGTTTCTTTTACGGCCTCATACTTTTAAAAAAAATAATAATATTATATTCTATTGACATAACATGATTAAATATCAAACATAGATATAGGATCCAAATTAATGTCAGTCACACTCAGTTGCTTTAGCCAGCAAATCGATTCACGGCAGCTGGTTAGCCCTAGAGGGCAGTATTAGACAACCAGGTAGAAGGGCGATCAGTCCCCCTTCAAGCAACCCATGCTTGGCATAAGGGGCGACTATAATTGGATCGGGAGGTCAGGCTCGCTGACTTGGTTGATGCATGTCATCATATCTCAATTGCGTAGATCGATGCATATGGTGTCAGTCACTAGCTTGTCTGGCCCAGACATGAATATTTTCAGACCGCCGTCATATAACTGGAATATTGCCGAGTGCGTCTGTAAACAACAAACAATAGAACAATCCATGAACTAATTGAGGCATCTCTTCCAAGAAGATGCTTGAGTTTACTTGAGTCTTATGCCTTTTTTAACTGTTTTGTTACAGTATTACTGGATTATACACTTTGGTCTAAAGATATCCAAGATGGCTAATTTCATGCAAACTTGGTTCTTTTGGAAGTAACAACCACATAGGTGTATACTGACTCATCATATTCCACACAATAACAAAATATTAGTAATTGAATTAGACCTTTTCAGCAGGGAAACATATTTCGGTTTTAGCATTGAGCTGTCATGGAGCAGTTCCTCTTCATTCGAGTAAGACTGTATTAGTCCGGCTAGTGGGCTACGTGGGCTACGTGGGCGTACACCATGACTGATACAACCCTATGTCCCTTGTTGGATTTTGAAATGTCCCAAAAGTCAGTGCTAGTTAAAGTGCCTATATCTTGAAGACATAAATATACATAATAATATACAAAACAATATCATGGAAATAGAATAACCCTCAAAGTGGAGAGTAGAACATTGTACACGAATGCATGGTTCCAGTTCAACAAGGGCAGTGGGGTAGCCTGGTGGTAAAAGCTCTCACGCCGATGACCCGGGTTCGATTCCCCACATGGCCGTGACATTGCTGGAATATTGCTAAAATCGGCGTAAAACCATACTTACTCACCCGCTCCATGGAAATTAACAAATTGATCACAAGAGGTTTTATTTACGTGCTTATTAAATGAGAAGTCACATAATTTCATAACTTTAGTGGCGCAATCATTCTTTACATTCCACATATGTATGATGTAAAGCATGAAAGACAGTTTGTATATGTGTAACATTTGATAATACAAATGGCTATGCTATATTGTCACTTTTTACACAGTCGACCAACCAGACATGAATATACAAGATGAGAATACACAGCAGAGACCATATTATATGGTCTCTGTACACAGTAAATAATACTTGATTTTTTTGTCTGCATATCAATCCTCAAACAGTGCTTTGTTCCTCATCTTGGACTTCTGTACCATTCTCTGGACTTGGGCGTAATCAATCTCACTCTCCTCCACGTCAAACACGTCACCCACAGCAGCACTGGCAACGGATGCAGGGCGAACATATCTAAGATCTGTTCTCCTGTACTCTGCTAAATCCGCCATCTGTGCGATGGCCTTGGCCTTGTCACTCACATCTCCCAAACTGGCCTTATTTCGTCTCAACTTCTTCGTTGTGATACCCTTCCTGGCCATTTCTGCAGAGAGGTGTAGCTCCATTAAATCATCGTCAAATTCAACACCTGAGTCTTGTAACTGTTTGATGGCTGCACCAACTTCTGTCTTCATCAGATATTCCAGTGACATCTCCTCCTCCGCGCCACATACAATGATGGTGGCGAGGTTGTCAGAGGATGCAAGAGGCACGTATTGCCCCCCAGTAACATAGGCTAAACCTGTAAAGAAGTTCTTGTAGGCTGACACACTTGGTTCACAGCCGGCAACATACAGCACAACTTCCTTTGTTGCTAATCGGTTTACAGTTTTCAGAGGGTCGTAGCCCCGTGGACAACCTTTAGGGTAGTTATCACCATCACCCCCAAGTCCATGAGGTGGCGCATCACAAACCAAAACTGCAATTTTTGTTGCATCCTTTCTCCAAGTAAGGTTTGTTAACTCATGCAGGCCGTCTGCAACAGCTTCAGGCGCGTCGATGATGTTTCCCTCTGTCACAGCTTTACATACATCCAGCCATGATTTCATTGTCAGTACACTGGATGTGAAGTCCCTAACCCTCACAGTATCGAATTCTCTCCATGGGGAGAAATGGTCACGATACTGTATAAGTGCCAAACGAACGTCTCGCTTTTCACTTGCCACGATTTTATCAACAATGCGCTTGATGTTAGCTTTTGCTGCGTCGATATATTTCTTCATACTTACTGTGCAATCCAAGACGAAAGCAAGGTCGAGTTGCGCCATGACGGCGGTTTACACAGAGAAATGCAAATGGCGAACACAAACGTGCTCATTTGCATGTTAGTTGCTCACGCACACCTTGCATGGTAGCTTGTGGTGAATGACGGCCCATTTAAGGACATACGCCTCCTTATTTCCAAGAAATCCAATATGGCGGACTCAGGGAGATACCAATATATCTATATAATGTATACGAGCTTGTTTACATGCAAGGCATTGTTCACTTAGTACTTATCTCATCCCAGTTATTGGTATGTACAAATATGACAGATGTATATGTAACATTGTATCACTGTTTGAAAGGGATACTTGAACAAAATATACTACTCTTCTGGTAGGGCAGGGTCGGATAGGCGTGGCCTTCTTACACATGACGTCACAAACACAACTGAAACTGCAAATCTGCCTAAAGAGGACATACAAAACACAGGGAGCCTAATTATACGAACAACGGAAAAACTCATTGGAAAGTATGACACTATTGTATTTAAAAAATGTGTCTTTGCTGTAAGTCAGTAGTTTGAACGTGTGAACAAATGTTTCCTCGAATATAACCTTGGACACACAAAAGCATACCGCATTTCCCACAGTGAGCCAAAGCTATTGTCACTTTTTAACAGATTATGTCGATGAGATTCGTCTTAAGATTTTTTAAAATTTTATATTTACAAAGTACAGAATAATGGCTTATAAAATCATGTTGGGGCATACATGTTTAATGTGTACCGTATATCGCTGTGTTTAAAGCGACCCCACGTCGCTAATAGCCAGACAGGTGAATCAGTGATATATCTCAGCTAGAGAACAAGGAGCATGTCGAGCAAGCTGTCGACTTCTGATAGAACCAGTCATCAGAAATCTGAGTATGCCCTGATTATAAAGCAATTACATCATTAGTGATGTTTAGCTATCCATATTCATTAAAGAAATACCTTCTAATTCCAAGAATAGCATTTGATATCGGAATTGTGCTCTTCGGGGAATAACAAAACATTTCATAATTGATTATTACAACTGGTTTGCATGTACATTGGATGACAAGATACACTTGATTCAATACCCAGTACAAGGGCAGGTTATTCTGTAAGAAACCTACCTTCCAGGCGTGAATAGTGTACTGTACACACTTGACCGCGTTGTGAAGGGATCGCTTCAACACTGGGAATGAAGAACCTACCTCGCTTATGAGGTGTACGGACGAGTCCATATGCGTAAAGGGGCTGCTGTTCCGGGTCGTCGTTGAACTGAAAGGAGATTGGCAGCCAAGCTTTGGGTGTCCGGGTCTAGAACAGTAGTTTTGAAGGTGAGATTGGTTATAGATTGGTATGTAAAATTCACTCCACATATCACAGAGTGGATGTCACAATGTAATGGGAAGTACAAACTAAATCAACTGCTTGAAGCTTATGTGTTTGAAAGCAGTTTTGATTACCGTATTATACTTAAAGAGATGCACACAATAATGTCATAAGTGAAGGCATATTCAAATGCTAGATAAAACTGTATAAGCGTTTCTCCAGTAGATAGACAACGTATGATAGATTAGAGAGATACATGATATATTCATATCACAGTGCACACACAGATTTCCTTACAAACATTACATGATATATAAACGTAGCCTGTGTGTTCTCCAATATGCAGAAATCATCTGGTTGCAGCATGTTGTATCATTTTCAGCATTTTTGGATAAATGCTTAAGATACAACCGATTCTTGATGAAAGATGATAAATGTCACTGCATTATCGGTTTTAGTTTCTGTATTTCAGTACGAGAATGTCACAAAAAATATATGTATTTAGTCAGTAAACAGTTGAAGGTTTTTTTATTAAATGCTATATGGGAATACAATATGGAATAGGAAATGTATATATTTTAGTTGGAGGTCCTTCGTTATGTTCCATATGTATTCTTATTTAGAAATGCCTGCACAACTTTTCTCTTCTAAAAATGTTCTCACAGAAAGTTTAATCAATTGCTGTAGGACATCAGGTCAGTACATTAATATCAGGCTTGTTCGGTCCGCTGTCAGGTCGAATGTAAAACTGCGTGGTACTGCGTAGAATATGAGTGTAACCTGTGAAACGGTGTGACTCTGTGTGGTATTGTGTGGAATGGAGTGATTCTGTGTGGTATTATGTGGAATGGAGTGATTCTGTGTGGTATTATGTGGAATGGACAAAGACAAAGTATTAATTCGTTAAAATCTGTGGGACTCAACAGTTCTGAGCTACATCCAGCTACCAGTGTAAAAATCTGGTTAAGAATGATATTAAAAACAAGTTTTTACGGCTGCGAACTGCTCCTTGATATTAAGGGTCAAAACATTAATGTCATTGAACATACTCAACGCTATTTCGCGCGAACTGTACAAGGACTTGATAAAAGATCTCCATCAGAATCCACTATTGCTAATCTTGGGCTTTGGACAATGATCGGCTATATCGATAACTGTAAACTTCAGCTGCTTGGCCGCTTATGTAACTTAACCTGTAACAGTCTTGTTAAACATCTTTTTTTGCGCATACATTGCAAATCCAACTAATCCTAAATCTGTATGTGGAGATTTATTATCAGTTCTTAACAAGTATAACCTACGAAACAACCTTTGTACATATGTAAGCTGTGGTGTATTTCCTACAAAGAGAAACTGGAAGCAACTGGTAAATAAAACCATTCATGAATATGAAGAAAATATGTGGCGCAGAAAAGTTTCTGTCAATACAGGTCTTTCACGCTTCATGCTAATACACACAAAGCTTACTCACCATATATTATGGCAACTAGCATATCAGTACCCAGAACAGAGGTCAAGTTTAACATTTTGTGTTAGAGTTTCATCACGTAACAAAACTTCCAGGGACTGTTTATTGTGTAACAAGCATGCCTTTGATTATGATAATCACATCATATTACATTGTGAAGCTCTACTGCAGGAAAGAAATGAACTGTTTTCAACCTTTATTGATCTGCTTGATGTTGAAACCTATGTCCAGTTGGAATTACAAGATGAAGAAGATATGTTGTCATTTTTCTTTGGTGCTGATACTCACTTCTCACAATGTATTGATATAGTTACATGGGAATCTGTTATACTGATATTTTCTGCTTATGTACTTACACTAAAGCCTTACCTTGATTATGTCATCTGATCTAACCTTTTGTACTGTGTGAATGGCATGACACTGGTGCTACTGTCTTTTATTGTATATATGTACAGGTAATATGAGTTTGTGTGAATACGTTTGATTAATTATGTATAATCTTCGGATTAACTTCTGGAGGAAATAAAGAATCTCTCTCTCTCTCTCTCTGGTTGCAGCATGTTGTATCATTTTCAGCATTTTTGGATAAATGCTTAAGATACAACCGATTCTTGATGAAAGATGATAAATGTCACTGCATTATCGGTTTTAGTTTCTGTATTTCAGTACGAGAATGTCACAAAAAATATATGTATTTAGTCAGTAAACAGTTGAAGGTTTTTTTTATTAAATGCTATATGGGAATACAATATGGAATAGGAAATGTATATATTTTAGTTGGAGGTCCTTCGTTATGTTCCATATGTATTCTTATTTAGAAATGCCTGCACAACTTTTCTCTTCTAAAAATGTTCTCACAGAAAGTTTAATCAATTGCTGTAGGACATCAGGTCAGTACATTAATATCAGGCTTGTTCGGTCCGCTGTCAGGTCGAATGTAAAACTGTGTGGTACTGCGTAGAATATGAGTGTAACCTGTGAAACGGTGTGACTCTGTGTGGTATTGTGTGGAATGGAGTGATTCTGTGTGGTATTATGTGGAATGGAGTGATTCTGTGTGGTATTATGTGGAGTGGAGTGATTCTGTGTGGTATTGTCTGGAATGGAGTGATTCTGTGTGGTATTATGTGGAATGGAGTGATTCTGTGTGATTAATTATGTATAATCTTCGGATTAACTTCTGGAGGAAATAAAGAATCTCTCTCTCTGGTTGCAGCATGTTGTATCATTTTCAGCATTTTTGGATAAATGCTTAAGATACAACCGATTCTTGATGAAAGATGATAAATGTCACTGCATTATCGGTATTGTGTGGAATGGAGTGATTCTGTGTGGTATTATGTGGAATGGAGTGATTCTGTGTGGTATTGTGTGGAATGGAGTGATTCTGTGTGGTATTATGTGGAATGAAGTGATTCTGTGTGGTATTATGTGGAATGGAGTGATTCTGTGTGGTTTAATGTGGAATGGAGTGATTCTGTGTGGTATTATGTGGAATGGAGTGATTCTGTGTGGTATAATGTGGAATGGAGTGAGTGTGTGTGGTATTATGTGGAATGGAGTGATTCTGTGTGGTATTATGTGGAATGGAGTGATTCTGTGTGGTATTATGTGGAATGGAGTGATTCTTTGTGGTATTATGTGGAATGAAGTGATTCTGTGTGGTAATATGTGGAATGGAGTGATTCTGTGTGGTATAATGTGGAATGGAGTGATTCTGTGTGGTATTATGTGGAATGGAGTGATTCTGTGTGGTATTATGTGGAATGGAGTGATTCTGTGTGGTATTATGTGGAATGGAGTGATTCTGTGTGGTTTTATGTGGAATGGAGTGATTCTGTGTGGTATTATGTGGAATGGAGTGATTCTGTGTGGTATAATGTGGAATGGAGTGAGTGTGTGTGGTTTTATGTGGAATGGAGTGATTCTGTGTGGTATTATGTGGAATGGAGTGATTCTGTGTGATATTATGTGGAATGGAGTGATTCTGTGTGGTATTTTGTGGAATGGAGTGATTCTGTGTGGTATTATGTGGAATGGAGTGATTCTTTGTGGTATTTATGTGGAATGAAGTGATTCTGTGTGGTATTATGTGGAATGGAGTGATTCTGTGTGGTATAATGTGGAATGGAGTGATTCTGTGTGGTATTATGTGGATTGGAGTGATTCTTTGTGGTATTATGTGGAATGGAGTGATTCTGTGTGGTATTGTTTGGAACGGTGTGATTCCGTGTGGTATTGTATGGAATGGTGTGTTTATGTGTGGTATTGTGTGGAATGGTGTGATTCTGTGTGGTATTGTATGGAATGGTATGATTCTGTTTGGTATTGTGTGGAATGGAGTGATTCTGTGTGGTATTGTGTTGAATGGGGTGATTCTGTGTGGTATTGTGTGGAATGGTTTGATTCTGTGTGGTATTGTTTGGAACGGTGTGATTCCATGTGGTATTGTTTGGAATGGTGTGTTTATGTGTGGTATTGTGTGGAATGGTGTGTTTATGTGTGGTATTGTGTGGAATGGTGTGGTATTGTGTGGAATGGTTTGATTCTGTGTAGTTTTGTATGGAATTGTGTGTTTATGTGTGGTATTGTGTAGAATGGTGTGGTATTGTGTGGAAGGTTTGGTTCTGTGTAGTATTGTGTGGAATGGTGTGTTTATATGTGGTATTGTGTGGAATGGTGTGGTATTGTGTGGAATGGTTTGATTCTGTGTAATATTGTGTGGAATGGTGTGTTTATATGTGGTATTGTGTGGAATGGTGTGATTCCGTGTGGTATTGTGTGGAATGGTTTGATTCTGTGTAGTATTGTGTGGAATGGTGTGTTTATATGTGGTATTGTGTGGAATTGTGTGGAATGGTTTGTTTCAGTGTAGTATTGTGTGGAACGGTGTGGTATTTTGTGGAATGGTTTGATTCTGTGTAGTATTGTGTGGAATGGTGTGGTATTGTGTGGAGTGGTTTGGTTCTGTGTAGTATTGTGTGGAATGGTTTGTTTATATGTGGTATTGTGTGGAATGGTGTGGTATTTTGTGGAATGGTGTGATTCTGTGTGGTATTGTGTGGAATGGTGTGATTCTGTGTAGTATTGAGTGGAGCGGTGTTGTATTTTGTGGAATGTTTGATTCTGTGTAGTATTGTGTGGAATGGTGTGTTTATGTGTGGTATTGTGTGGAATGGTGTGCTAATGTGTGGAAGGTTTGGTTCTGTGTAGTATTGTGTGGAATGGTGTGTTTATATGTGGTATTGTGTGGAATGGTGTGGTATTGTGTGGAATGGTTTGATTCTGTGTGGTTTTGTGTGGAATGGTGTGTTTGTATGTGGTATTGTGTGGAATGGTGTGGTATTGTGTGGAATGGTGTGATTCCGTGTGGTATTGTGTGGAATGGTTTGATTCTGTGTGGTATTGTGTGGGACGGTGTGTTTATGTGTGGTATTGTGTG